TTTTGTCCTGAAATAAAATTCTAATTTACTTTTTAATGTATATAAATTTGGGTGCCCAGAAAATTTGGTAATTCTGACAAGGTAAGAAAATTTGGTAACTATGAAATAAAAGTTAATTGAAAATTGACAGAAAAATTTTCTAAAAAAAAATGAGGCTATAGTTTTTGCTTCTTTAAAAAGAAATAACTATTTAAAATTTAATTTATATAATTACTACTTTTTTCATTAAGATAATTTGAAAATAAGTACTTCACTTTAACTTAGATAAATCAATTTTATTTGCTTAAAAATAATAGAGTATAGTAATTAAGTACGCATTTAAAAAATATTTAAAAATATTGGAGGGGGCTTACGGCCCTAAACCCCCAATCCAGACATTACAGCCCTGATATTGTTGCAGTTGGGCTTTTCTACACTGCCCCATAGGTAATAATACTTTTTTAAAAAAATATTGGGGAAGCAGGCCTAGGCTTCTAAGCACTCCTTTATAAGTACAGTTCTGCTATAGTAGTGGGGTTTTACCCCATGATTTTCAGTTATATAAAAATATAGAGGGGGGGCTTAGCCACCAAATTCCAACTCCAGAACAGCTGTAAAATCAAATTTTCAATCAACTTTTATTTAATAGTTACCAAATTTTTCTGAATTCATAAAATTAAACTTTTAGGCCAAATGTTTGGTGTCTGGAAGATTTGGTAACAAAAGATTCAGTTAGTTACTGAATTTTCCGTTACAGAATTTTCCAGGCACCACTGCAACAATATCAGTGCTGTACTTTCTGGATAGTGGAGTTAGGGGCTAAGACCTCTAATATTTTTAAATAAGTAAAATCAATTTATCTATGTTAAAGTTAAGTTCTTGTATCTTCTTTTCAAATTATTATTTTAATAATACTTTGTTTTAAAGAAATTAGAGATAACCTGGACCCTCTCATAGACACCCTTGAGCTTGAATGCTTTAGGGAAGCAGGTATTCATTTTATTGAAGAGTACCTGGAGGTAATAAAACCCTTTGCACAAGCATTAAATCTCCTCCAGGATGAGATAAATTGTTACATTGGCTTCTTCCTTCCAACAATTGAAGCTTAGAAGGAAAGAACACAAATTGTGTTATTGTATGCCATTAGTGGATGCCCTGTGTGACAGCATAAATAAAAGATTTGCTTCATAATTTCAAGATAGAAATTTACTTCTGGCAGCATTTCTAATCTCACAATATAATAACTTGGATTGGGTAAATGTCCAAGAAACTAAGACATATATCCTCAAAAAGGTGAAGAAAGAACTGTCCAGCCTGAAAAGGGAAAGTTCAGGTTGCAGGTCAAGTAACAATGAGGTGTCTTGAGGATGACTTCTTTCCAAGTGTCCAAAAACTAAAACACAAATGCAGACATTTTGAACCAATATGTAAGTGCTAAAATTGCAACAATTGAGGAATTGGCCAAATATCCAGAAATGTGAATTATTTCACAAATTCAACACAACCATTCCCTCATCTGCATCTGTTGAGAGACTGTTCAGCCATGGAGGAGGAATTTTTCGAAAAACAACTATTACTAAAGTTAAACTCCAGTTTATGATAAAATAAAATTTGTAAAACTAAATTTGCTATTTGTTGAGGTAATTCTTTTGGAGTTAGGAATGACATATGCCTTATAAGGGAGTACACTGGGGGAAATTTGGTATGTTTTTATGGGTAAAGGGTATTCTGACAGGCTAAATGTTGGTTCTTATTAAATCTGAATACCAAAATATCTCATATCCAGCTTATTTTAACTATGGAGCCTTGAAGCTGCTTTTTTTTTTTTTTTTTTTTTTTTTTTTAAATGGAGTTGGAGCAGCTCCTTTTTAAAAACAGTAGATCATTTAATGTGTGTGTGTGTGTGTGTGTGTGTGTATATATATATATATACATACATATATATATATATATATATATATATATATATATATATATATATATATATATATATATATATGGTTGATTTCTTCTTTTGTAAGTGTATACGTAGATAGGTTTATTATTTTGGGTTTTGTGTCATCTAAACTGGCCTTCTTGTTTGGACTGAGCCCTCTAAAAAATAATGATTGTTTCTTTCCACAGTTTGGGTTTTCTAGCCAGTGATACTTTCTCTTGTTAAAATTGTAGTTGTTGTTTCTAGATGGCTCTATATAAGTGTGTACCTGTTGTTATAAGGGATGGTCCAGTTGTTTCTGTATGGATTTTATGTGGAGATTTCCAGGGGATTTTGTTTGTGTTCTTTGATATGGGTAGTGGTTGTTAGGTTTGGTTGGTTGTGCTAAGTGTTGTGAATGTGTATGTATTCTGAACTGTTTGTTTGTGATATGTTATAAAGGTTTTTTTGTGCACTGTTAGGTATATTTTCATAATTGTATTTGTTGTGTGGGAGTGTTTGTATGTGGTATGTATTAGGGTTCCAATTTTGTGAATATGGTTGCGTGTAGTAGTATGTATTAAGGTTCTTACCTCTGGTTTTATCTGTATTTGCTGCTGTCACATGTAGTTGTTTTGTGTTGAGTAATGTTTTATATTGAGTTTGGATCTTGTTTTTTTAGTCTCTCATTATCCAATTATTCTTTTCTTGGTAATGTTTTCAGCCAAGTTATCTTTCTTTCCAAAATATTCTGGGATTTTTCCTCCTCTTCTTTGCATTTTGACTCCCATAATTCTGATAGGAATTGGTAAGTTTCTATGGGACAGAGTTCCTTGATTTCTGTCCGAAATTTATTATCAATTTTAGTGTACTTTTTAGTGAAGTGTATTGTTTTGTCTTCTTTATTTTACCATTTGGGCCTGCAATTTTGCTAGGCTCAGTGTATTTTTTATTTGTTTTTGTTTGTCTGTGTCTTGCGGATTGATTTTCTTTTCATGGAATTTCCTTGGAATAAATGTTTCCTCCTTTTCTATGAAGGTTTTTTATATTGTTGTGGCTTCTTTATTTTTGATGGTATCAAAAAATGCTAGTTTTCTTTAAGTAGGTTGTTCCATATCCGGAGATTCTGTCTCTTCATTTTGTATGCTTCCTCTTGGATGTGTAATTTTTTTTTTTATATTTTCTAGGTATCCACACTGCGTTTTGAAATATTCCACTAGTGTTTCTGTGTTGCAGTTATGTTCCCTGGTTTTTGATGTGATTTGTAGAAGTATAGTGTACTTTTTTTTTTTCTTTTTTTTTTTTTTTTTTTGTTCAATTTTTGTAATTCTTCCTCCAAAAGTTCCGTTTTTTGTTGATAATTTTGTATAATTCAAGGAGTTCTTTCATGGTTTTCTTTTCTATTCGTGGCATTCTTTTGTTGTAGTTATTTATAGGGAAAAGGTTATAGTTGTTGCAATGTGAGAAAAATGTATATTTTAAAAAAAGAAACCAAAACATTTTTGCTTATATTGTGGATTTGTTTTAGTATATATATTATATTTTATTCTTCATATTTCTGCTATGTGTGTTTCCAGTCTTATGACCTTCTTCAGGCAAATAAAAGGAATAAATTTTCCTTATATTCTTTTAATGTCTCATTGTTCATTTTCTGCTTTTGTTAGTAATCCTTGAACTCCTTTCTGGACTGTTTGCAAAAGTGAATTTCTGCCTAAGTGTTAATAAAACCATTAGGTTTGGTATGAGAGGTGGTGATGATAGATGTGTTCCTATCCCTGTGTGTGTTTTTCTTGTTAGCCCACATTTGTATATTCACTCCCATATATATATATATATATATATATATATATATATATATATATATATATATATATATATATATATACACACACACCACACTCTTTCCTGTGTTCATGTGAGTGCCTGTGAATAGTCTATTTGTTTTTGCCAGTGTGTGTGTGTATATATATATATATATATATATATATATATATGTTCTCCATGAATACCTGTTTGCGCATGTATGTATGTGTGCGGTCCAACCAGTGTACCTGCCATCATGTGCACATGTGTGTGGGGTTATAATCTGTTCAGTGCTGGTTTAAATTTGTCTATGAAGTTTTTGCCTGAATTTGTAGGAAATAGTAGTTGTCTGTTTGGTATATTGCCAAATTTTAAATTTGCTGTGATTGCATTTGTAGATGTGTTGCAATAGAAAGTTTTCTATTGTCAGATAATTTAATGTTGCTTTTGTGAAGGGTGACTCTATTGTTAAGTGCCTGGCTGATGCCTATATATGACTTCTTGCATTTTGTGCATAGATCACAATTTTGGAGTTGCAGTTTAAATTGCTATTTATTGTGACTATCTATTGTAAAATATATATATATATATATATATATATATATATATATATATATTAATGCATGAATGTAAATTTATAGTTTAAAAATCAAGGATATCTTCCCAAACATATGTGCTTATAAATATACATTTTAAATTATATGAGATAATGTCTATTTATATATACATGTTTGTTTATAATGAATTGTTAAAAAGTTCTCTGTCTGGACCTAACCATTTTTTTTTTATCCCTACTTGGTTGGGCACAACTATTCAGTGCCCTCTAATATATAATTTCTGCTGCATTGATTCCTGTGCAACAACCTCATTTAGTAATCCTCTACCTTGAGTGGCTCTTAGGCCTTGTATTGGGTGAGAAATTGTAAAATATATATATATATAATTTTAAAGTTATTCTATGAAAAACATTGTCAAACTGGTAGTAAGTTTATGCTAATAGGTTTATTTTTTCATTAAAAAACTTGAGATCATTTAACACTTTCAAAATGTACAGAATGAGAATTGTATTTTAATCTTTTTCAGTGAAAGTGAATCGGAAATTGATGATTCTGAGAAAGATACAACTGAGAGTTCTTCAGATGCAGAACCTGACCAATCTGTGTTGTTTAAGCCACAACTGTCTCCTATTAAAGAGGAAGAAGAGCAAGATGAAATGAATAGGGAAGATAAAGGTTATGTTAATGAAAAAGCAAGTGTTAGTACTGAACACGAAGTCCAAGAGAGACTGGAATTATCTGGAGGAATGCGCCTTTCTGCAAGAATTGATAGTGGCATGTTGGTTGATGCAAATTCTGCTACTTGTACACCTGAAAGATCAATGGATACTAGCAGTTTATGTACTGACATCAGTAGTGATGATCAAGCATTTGTCTCTACTGAATCAAAGAAAACATTAGAGTCAAGTGCTCAGGTAAGTGCTACTGTTGATGACAGTGATGAAAACAAAGAAATAACAGCTACTACTGCTGCTACTACTACTACTACTAGTAGTAGTAGTAGTACTACTACTACTACTAATTCAACAATAGATGAAGAGGTACCATCTACAGAAATATCTTCTGAGGTAACAGCAACATCAGATGAGGAAGCCTCAACAGATCACTCTAAAGGATACATGATTCCAGCAATTGCAGAACATGATTATGTAGCTATGCCTCCTCCTCTACCTGTAGGTATAGAGATAAAATCTTCTGAAGACTCAGACCATATTGAAGATGAAGAGGCAGAAGAGGAGGAGGATTCTGATAGAACAGAATCTTGTGATGAAGATAACACACCTCTTGAAATTTTGATGGACCACAATTACTGTCTTCCACCTGCCATTGGTGAGGTTCATGAAGATTCCGAAATGTCTGCTGGCTGGCCAGAGAGCAAGGTCATATCAGAAGATTCATTAAAAAGCACTGCATTATTGGGCAATTCTGCTGCAAATGCTGCTGTACAGGATGTGGTTCAAAAATTGTCTACAGGTAATTTAACAGTGGATGAACATGCTGCTGCAGCCACTGCTGCTGTAGTCGCAGCTGCTGCTGCTACAGTGTCAGCGAGTCGGGCAGCAGCAGATGATATGAAATCTACCAAGAAAAAGAAAAAGCGTGTTAAAGATAATACACTTACAGATATTACTAACAAATCTGTCAATGAACTTGAATCAGAAACTGTTAAACCTATTGTAAAGCCTAAAATTCAATTCCAACCACGTGGCTATCAAGAAGAAAAACAATTGTTCTTTGATATTTACAACAAAGGCATTGATCAGGAAGATATCAACTACCTCAAAAGAACTTATGAAACTCTTTTGCAATCAGAAGATCCCATGTATGACTGGTTGAACGATATATTTTGGGTTGATCATACACATACAGATATCCCTGACCCAGTTCCTCCTAAAAAGAAACGAAAAGTTGATGAGCAAATCACACCGGTACATAAAACTGGTAAGTGAACTTCATATCTTTTAATCAAACACTGATACTTCTCATTTATAAACTTTGATCTAGTTTTTAACTTTTATACCTCGAATATTTTGTCTTCAATTTGATATACTGGAATTAGAAAATCTACTTCTTTTTGCTTATTTTATTTAAGAAAAAATTATAAAACAAATCTAATTTAAATTGCAAAAGTAAATTTCTTTTTAGATATTAGTTTTTAAACATGGTCCAACATATATGTCACTTATTGAGATCAAAATAGCTGTAGATAAAAATTTTGCTTCTAATAATAAAACAAAAATACTACATATTTGAAAATAGCTTTTTTTTTTTTTTTAGATAAGTTTTCAAAATGTATTTGATTGTTAAACCAAGTTTTAAAGCAATTTATTTGTAAATGTCTATTGGCGTTTAGTTTTGTTAAAAATGTATATAATTTTCATTTATTCAATGCTAATTTATTTATTAATCTTTTGATTTTATAAAGTCTCAGTATAGCATTTAAAATTAATATATTATCTAATTAAAATTGTTTGGTTATTGTTACTAATTTAATTTTGTATCCATTTGAACTTTTAGGTTCTGCCAGAACTGAAGGCTTCTACAAAATCAGCAAAAGAGAAAAAAGCTGGTTATCTTTGCCATGCAAACAAAGTTGCTGAAACAGGACAACAAAATGTAATTTTTTTTTTGTATCTTCTTTTATATATATATATATATATATATATATATATATATATATATATATATATATATATATTAAATATGGTATCACATTATAAAGTTGTAATAAAACTTTTCATAAGTGGTAAGCTTTAATGTTCTTTATATTGCTACTAGGTATAATACTATTATATCTTAATATTATTGCACAATTTGTGTAATTTAGTATAAAAAAAAATCTTTTCATTTGATACTTTTATTTCTAACTTTATTAGGTAGAATGAAAAATTATTTTACAACATAAAATCACAATATACATAATTGTTTTGTTAGTTTGATGTTCCCTTTTTATCAAAAATATATTGCAATTAATACTCAGAATTTAATACTCAGAATTTAATAATGTTACTAGATTGAAATTCTGATTGTACAAGTAAATTAATAAATATAATAGCTCTTTAAAGTATTTAAGTTGAATAAAAAGTGACTTGTGTGGGGAGAAAAAAAAATCATCCTTCACTTATATTAGAAGAATCTAGATAAAATTTATTTCAGATCTAGAACCAAATTTTTAAAAATTTGCACATGATTTATAATTTAAGTTAGAAGTTTGTTTGTTTTTTCTTTTTAATTTACTTTAACTTTAGAATGTATTAGACTAATATGTATGATATATAATGACTTCTATCAACTTGCAGTTTATTTGCATGATTAAAAGTTTGAAAAGCTTTTTATTTAATTTAAGAAACAAAACTGTTCAGCTCTGTTTTTTGTATTGAATTTAAGAAGCATTTAGAAATGAATATTAACAGTCTCGATGCTGTATTTAAGTTTACCAAAAATACTTGAAAATAAATATGAAAACTTCTCATTTAACCATAGTAAAAAATTTAATCACTACAAAATTTTATAGGTTTAATGGCTACTAATTTTCTCAAAAATTTAAGTCAATTATGTAAATACCTTCTTTTTTTTTTTTTTTTTTTTTTTTGCAAATGTTATGCAATCAAACTAATAACTACTTAAAACAAGTAGTTATTTCGTATTTCCTTTTCTCCCCAAAGTAACTTTTTTTTTTTTTTTTTTTATCTCTGGATTATATAAATTTTGAAAGATTTTTTCATGAGATGCTTGTTTTTGCTTCCTAGGATAAAAAATTGTCGATGACTTCACGTGAAGCTAGGCACAATATCAGACGGTTTCAGACTAATTTTGGTGATTTGGAGCTAGGAGAGCTCTTCAAATTCAATCAGCTGAAGGTAATTATTCATGCAAAGTTATTTCTTTTTATACAGATCTTTGTTTTCCTAAAAGTTTAACTTCTCTGATTTTATTTTTGGAACTTTATCATATCTTGTTAATATTAATGCCATATGTGAAGTGATTTTTCATTTGATTAAGAAAATCTTCATCCTTTTTTTTCAGTTCCGAAAGAAGCAATTAAGGTTTGCAAAAAGTTCAATTCATGATTGGGGGCTATTTGCTCTAGAACCAATTGCTGCAGAAGAAATGGTTATTGAATATGTTGGTCAAGTGATTAGACATTTTGTAGCTGATGAACGAGAGAAACAATATGGAGCACAGGGTATAGGGAGCAGCTACCTATTCAGAGTTGATAATGAAACCATCATTGATGCAACAAAGGCTGGAAATCTAGCACGATTTATTAACCACAGCTGCAATGTAAGTTCAAGTACATTCACATTAACTTATTTTATGTTTTTACTTATCTCAGAATAATTTAAGGTGCTTTAATAATAAACTTGATAAGTCATTAAGAAAATTATTCTATTTGTCACATTCAAATTTAGTTGCTTTTTGGTTCAAATTCAATTAATGGTTTGATTTTTTTTTGATTTTTTTTTTTTAACAACTAACAAAAATGTCATTTTACATTTATATAGATAGGTAATTTCTATTAAAAAAAACAAACTTCAGTGGATTAATTTTTAGTGCAGTTTCTTTTGAATTTAAAAATTGGCTACATTTTAGATTTAAATTCGCAATGCATAAAAAATGTTATGTAATAAATTTTTTATTGTTTAAATATTTTGTTTCATACAAAAAAATTACTTAGTGCACATGCATTCTTAATTAAACTAAAAGATTGTTTAAAAATGACCTTGTCATCATGATTTTATTTTAATTTTGGTTAATATGCAATGCTTATACTGTTACACTTTTTTGGTTTTTTTTTCCAGCCAAATTGTTATGCAAAGATTATCACAGTTGAAGCACACAAGAAGATTGTGATCTACTCAAAACGAGACATTGATGTAAATGAAGAGATTACTTATGATTACAAATTCCCTCTGGAAGAAGAGAAAATCAGCTGTCTCTGTGGAGCTCAGGGTTGCAAGGGTACTTTGAACTGAATCTGGTCTCTCCTATGGTAGAGAAGCAAGACCTAACAAATAATTGATTTGTTACCTGGCAGACTGTCACTACCATTCATTTGGATTGCCACCAGAATCACTACTTGCACATCTCAGGACTCCATACTACTCTTGTACAAAAGTGCTATGAAAACAGATCCATTTAGCAATATCCAATGCTACTTGTTGAATGGTACACTCAAGCTAGCAGGAAAATACCTGCCTCCTCCCAAAAGGAAACTTCTGTTGGTTTGGTTCAAGTGAGCATTTATATTTAAAACAATACATTTAAATATGTAAAATAGTTTAAGACAAAAACTCTTCACTTGGTGTCATGATTACAGATGAAAATCCGACTAGTGACATTTTGGGTGGGGGTAAAATGAGTGACTTTTTGATCTGTAACATGACACGTGTTGACTTGGGCGGTGGGGATAAATAAATGTATTATTTACATACATCAACAAAAACTTTTTTTTTCTTTTTTTTTTTTAAAAAAATAATCAACCTGTCTTATTGGTTGTATTTTTGCAAATATTCACATTTTATAGAGAAAAGAATGTGATGGAATATAAGATTCAATGCTAGAGGAGGATCTGATAGACCCATGCACTGTGGATGTGTACTCTAGAAGTATGGTTGCTTACCTAATATAAACAACAAAAAGATGGATGTAAACACAAAATGCTATGATCTAGCATGTGATTCTGATGAGATTAATGTAAATTTTATTATGGTTTACAGACTGTGGCATGTCTGTCTTGATACTGTGTAAGTACATTTGAATAGACAAATGAACTATTTCTGGAAATGACTACTTACCAGTTAAAACTCTTGTACCATTGGTCACTGGACCAAAATTGAAGACACAGATTACCCGAAAATAAAGAAAAAAAAGAAAGAAAGAATTTTTAAAAATTAAAAAAAAATTAAAAAAAAAAAAACAAACCCAAAACAAAACAAAAAAACTGCTGCCCATTATGATATAAATATTTATCCCCAGACAGAAACTGAGATAAATGAATACCTTGTGCTTCAGATCTGTTGGGTGGGGGGAGAGAAAAAAAAATTTCTTTCCTTCCAGAATTGAGAGAGAGAGAGAGAGAGAGAGAGAGAGAGAGAAAGCAAGCAAGAAAGAAAGAAAGCACCATGCACACACACACACTACTACTACTACTACTACTACTACTACTACTGGTAATTGCTGATATTAGGTTGATCACTTGTTTGAATTTAATCCCTGTTCCAAAGTATTAAGTATTAAAAAGTAAAACTTAGCGATCATTCTCAGCAAGCAATTTTCAAGTGTTAGGAAATATCCACAGCATCTTGGTGGATAGGGTGGCAGCAGGCAGACTGAGGGAAGAAACAAAAATACAATGTTATTTAAAATTGAGGCAGTTAGGTTTTGTCTTTTTGTTTTTTTTTTTTGTTTTTTTTCACACACACCCCCTTACATTTATTCACACTCCCTGTTAAGTACTAAAGCCTTGTCTTTTGACAACATAGTGTTATTATATGCTTGTAAAATACATCATCCTTCATTTCATTTGATCAGTAAATTAATATTCTTTTGTGTGACATCATGTGAATTGTATGAATGCACATTTAAACTGATTACCAGGATACACAATATGTCGGATTAAAAGTTGATATTTCTTTTGTTCTCTAATCTATTCCTCAAAGTAGAACAAAGTTTTTGTTGGGCCAACTGGATAAATTAATATTCTCAGAACAAATTATTTTGGCGAGGGCTTTTTTTTTTTTTTTTTGCTATATGTGTTGTGTATGACAAATTTTTAAGATTAATAAATTAAGAAAAAGATAATATTTGAAACTAGATTTTGGTTCTTAATTATCATGTTTGGTTTGATGTTGTTTTAGTTTACCAACAACAATTTCTTTGATTATTTTTTAACTGTATGTTAAGGGATGGATATTTAAAAAAATGTTTTGAAGTGTCTTACTAATTGGTAAAACTTACAATTTTTGTTACAATTTTTAATATGGAATTTTTCAGCAGTTGCTGAGCCTTTTTTATTTATTTTATTTATTTTTTAAAAGCATTAGAAAATATATTTATTTTTGTATATACTTAGCAATATAATAAGAAAAATTAACTCATTTCCTGATTATGGATTGATTGGAAAATAATAGTGTAACATTATAAATTTTCTAGAGGAGAATTCCCTCTGTTCTGATGAGTGTTATGCAACCATTTAGGCCTTACATTTGCCTTTGTATACAGAGGTTAAGAATGAGAAAGATGAATTCAAAGTTTTACACTGATTAAATTTTTTTTTCCATCTGTTGTTTTTGTCAAAACATTTTTGTTTTTACTGTGTTTGTATTACTTTTTTATCATGTTATGGCAATGGAAAGTTTGAGAGTCTCATTTTGTCTTTGTAATTTTTCTTTTTTTTTTTTTTTTTTTTTTTTTAACTTAAACTGGTGACTATTTAATTTTGAAATGCTTATGTTTGTTTTGTTTTTTGTTTTTTTTTGTTTTTAATGCAAGTGGGAAAATGTCTAGCATTTTTTTTTTTTTCATTCTTAAAATATGTTGCATTCAGGTAAATATCAACATAAAGAATTATTTGCTACACTATTATTACTATTTCATAACTAAATAATAGGTTACTAAATTCTATAAAAAAAAAGATTACTGAAGAAAAGGCTGCTGAAGATATGTTCAAGTCTTGTTTCATTGATATGCTGCACGCTTATTTCACTGCCACTTGCTATTCGCAGTATGCAGCAACAAATTTTGTCATTTAACTTTTTCGTTAAAATTTGTGAGTGCTTAATGGATAATAGTTGTTATCTATCCTATGTTAAAATAGGATAAGTCTTAAGTGTTTCATATTAATGAAGAACTACAAAATTAAACTAATTACAATGAAATATTTTCTTTCATTAAACAATTTATCAAAAAAGCAATTTGGTATAATGCCATTTCCTTTTTCCTTTCTTGGTGAGAGGAGTTGTCATTTATATATATATATATATATATAATCTCTTCCTGTCCCACCATGGTAATTTAATACTGTATTAAAATTTAGAAAATAACAGATTTTTGTTTCAAAAACAAGACAGTTATATGAACTCTCAGCTTCCATTTTTATCATTACTCATGTTGAATATATCTAATATTAAGATATGTCATCAGTATTTCTGTAAAAAAAAAATAAAAATAAATAAATAAATATATTTTTCAACCAATCTTCCCAATAAACAAGGAAGACCATTAAAGAAATGTAAAAAAAAAAAAAGTGAAGATAAATAAAATGAAAAAAGGAAAGAAACAAAAGCTAAAAATAACTTGTTGGCTATTTGGTGTTTGCTAAATATTTATGCACATAACATTCTTGGTAATTAATACGCAGTATATTCTGATGTGATTTTTTTTTTTTTTTTTTTTTATTATCCTTTTTTAAAAATAAGGGCTTGCAAATCAGTAACATTTGTTTCAATTCCTAGTTCTTTATGCATATTTCTTTTAGTTTTTTGCATAATGCCTATCTTAAATGAAACTCACTATTTTTTCAGTCCGTCCATGAAATTAAATATAGATAACATTTTTTTTCTTTTTTCCAAATATAATCTCAACCTATTCTAATAGGTCTGTTAATTATTGACCCCCAGATTCTTTGAACTAATATGATTATACACTGAATATCATTTAATTTATTATTTGAAGATCACAAATATTAGGCAAAAACTACAATACCTAGAATTTTGCATATAATTAAATTTTTCTTTTAATTTTCATTGTATATATTAAAAATAAATTCTTAAATTTGAAGTGTTGGTTTATTTCCTTATCAATTTTTTTTTATTTTAGACTAACTTTATATATCAATATAATTTTTTTTTTAAATTAACTTTTATTTATAGTAATTCTTAAGCAGTAATATTAGTTTACTCATGCCTTTTTATAAACCTTTTTAAATTCCAATTGTTTTTGTTAGAAATTAATGATGATCTGGTCAGTTAAATTTCATCAATAATGACTTAAAAGCTGAATTAACACAATGCCCTTATTCAGAATTTTTTTTATTATAATTTGACACTGAAAGTTGCAAATAACAATTTATCAGATGTACCTTAATTTATTTTTCATTTTTACTTTTAGCTAAAAATGCAATGGATATAAAAGTAATGTTGGGAAAATTCTGTTCAGAAAGAATTTAATAATTTATTTTTAAATTATATACAGAACATTTTCTGGTATTAAGCAATTACTGTTCAATTACCTTCTATACTTAATTACTTAATATTAGTATTTTACAGTAACTATTGTACTGTAATATTGGTATAAATTTAAGCATTTTTTAAGGTACTGAAATATTTTAAATACAAAGAATTTATTGCATCATTGCCTGTCAATGTACTTGCCTGTGTGTGTGTGTGTGAGTCTCTCTCTCTCTCTCTCTCTCTCATTATTCCCAGTGTAATTATTCACCATTCATTTGACAACACTGTAGCTTCGTTTCATTTTCTTACTATTTACTTTGATCACTTCAGAGCCCGAATGCCTACTTTTCCTGACAATATATGTAAAGTTTTAAAGTTTTAGAAAAATAAAGTTTTTGTCAATTTTCAAAGTGTCCTACATTTAAACACTTTTTCTTTTTCTTTTTTTTCTTTTTTTTTTTTTCTTTTTTTTTTGTTACTCATAGAAGATCTAAATTGGCCAAATATATGTACATCATATTTTTACTCTAATTTATATTTAATGTTTCAGTAGCTGAAAATTTATTGCAAGGCAGTAGTGGTATTGTAGATATAAAGTTGGTAATTTTAAATTAAAAGGATGTTTATATTTAATATTTCAATTGTGTTTGATGTAATGGTAATTATTTTAATTACATCAAACTTTATTTTTAGTGGATACCAGTATTTGAGTAGACCCTCCATTTATTTTAAACAGTTTATTGGCCTTAATTAATAAAAATGTCAGATAAAAAATAAGATAAAATCCATTAATTTATTAGGTA